AATTAGTACTACGTACGTGACCACACCGACAAAACATTTATGTGGCAAACAGGAAATTCGTATTTGTACCGAAAGTCTGTAAAACTAATGACATAATAAATCCTTCATTCATCAAATGATCACATACAGTTACTTATCATTGTTTATGGAAATACGGTACCGTAGAATTCCGAAAGTAACGGCACCTGTTGCTTTCGGATTTACCAGGGAAAAGGGACCGCTACTTTCGGGTAGCCGTTACTTTCCGATGGTTAAAAAACGTTTGTATGTTTTAGACAAAGCAGAGCCGTAACATGAAATTAAAAGTTCCGTTTATGCATGTTACTAAATGTACCCATATAAACAAAGCAGACTGTATAACGAAAACGGCTCTTAATGATGGTATTGTAGGGCAAAAGTACAATGGTCGCATCATATCATAATGTCGCACTGTTTCATTTGTGACCCTGCTGCCAGACAAGGACAGTTTATAATTAGAGTTTCAAGATAGAATCGGATGAGTTCGATATAAAATCGCAAATTAATAACTCTTTAAGTTGTTCAGCCCTGCAGTGAGGCGGATCTACTGGTATTGCGTTTGAGATCAGAGTTTCTCTTTCAGTGACTTCTGTAAAGGGCCGCTACTTTCAGGTGCGCCGTTACTTTCGGTGAAGACCGTTACTTTCGGGGAGCCGTTAGTTTTGGGGACCGTTACTTTAGGAATTCTATGGTGGGTAAAGTCTGCATACGAAGTGGCCCACCAGGCCAGAGCTTATCCCGGTTTCCGTAGCATGAAGCGACTAAGAGTATTTCTACTCCCCCCCTGAATGGGATGCTAGTCCATCGCAGGGCTACCCCCAGCATTAAGTTCGCTGGTACCCATTTATACACCTGGGTGGAGAGAGGCACTCACGTGAGAGTATAAATGTCTTGCCCAAGAACACAACACAGTGACCCCGGCAAGGGCTCGAACCCAGACAGCTCGATCCGGAGACGAGTGCACTAATCACGAGGTCACCGTGCCTCCCTTTTTTTTCACTTTAGGAATTCTACGGTATTCCATAGTTATTGTACGTTTAGGGAAATGGTGTTTGACCCTTTCAATATTAATATATTAATATGACCCCTTTAAGACACTGTGTTCAGCGGACACTAGCAAGGGTCTCCAAAGTGTCTGCTCAATACAGGTTTGACTGTAGTATAAATAATGAAATGACATTGTCTATTTGAAATATTTGAGCGAGTCCGTGTGTCTTAAAAAGGGTGGTAACCGTCCGGGTGGTAACCTCAGACTGGCGATTAAATATCGGGGCAATGAAATTAACATTAGAATTCCAAGTCTGTCTACAGTGAACATGCTGTTTAACGTGAGTAAATCGTTAAAATATAAGGTCATTTCACCTCTCCATCACCTCGTAGTCGCTTATAAGCAATGATACACTTAGATATCAAAGTGTCTTCATAGAATGGCGACCATTTCAGGTCCACATCGCAGCACATGGCAATAGCGAACATGGTGAAATTGCTTTGGCTCCAAATTCA